AACACTATCCACTGTTCCACCAAGCTAACAGGATAAATTAAGTACAGAAGAAAGAGAGATTGTTAACCCAGTATTACTTCCTTTAAATCTCTGCAGAATAGAATGACCACAATGTCATGTTCATAGTCTAAATTTCCAAAACCTCACCTTTCATCTTAAAACCTAATAGACTGTCCATAATAGAAAAGAATAATATGAAAGCTGGATTAGTTAAATGGCCATTCAAGGTTTCAGCTAATTTTATGAATCTTGGAATCTCAGTGCTAGGGGAAACCTTTGGTTGCTTTTCAGTCATGTCCAACTCTTTGTGACTCCATCTGGGGTTTTCTTGGCAGAGATACTGGAGGGGTTTGCCATTTCTTTCTCCAGCTCATTTTACAGATAAGGAAACTGAAGCAAACAGGGTGAAGTGACTTGCCCAAGGTCACACAGCTTGTAAGTATCTGAGTTGGGATTTGAACTCAGGTCTTCCTGACTCCAGGCCTGGAGCTCTGGGCACTGCAGCACCACCTAGCCGCCTAGAAGAAACCTTAGAGGGTATCTAATTCAACCCTGTCTTTTTACATGTTAGCAAACCAGGGCGAAAGAGGTGAGTGGCTTATTCAGGCCTAGATATTTCCCAATACCCAATGTGGCATTTTTTTTCTAAGGCAAAAATCCAAACCCAGGTGTTTCTGACTCCATTTCTAGCACTCTATCATCATATTATTTTGTATTATTTTGCATATACTTTTTCTGTCTGTCCAGTGTAACATAAGCTCATTAAGGGCAAGGACTACTTGGGTTTTGGTTTTGTAGGCCTACAGTACCTAACAGCACATAGTAGGGCTAAGGTAGTTGACTCACCATTCAGTGTGTCACAAAAAATAGACCAGAGGGACAGCAGGAGGAGGGGGAGGGGAACAGGCAATCTGAAACAAAAGGGGCATCTTCTGTCTTTACAAAGGGGCAGCTAGGTGGCACAGTGGATAGAGCACCAGCCTTGGATTCAGGAGGACTTGAGTTCAAATCCGGCCTCAGACCAAACACTTACTAGCTGTGTGACCCTGGGCAAGTTATTTAACCCCAATTGCCTTGCCAAAAAACAAGAAAAAAAAAGAAAGAAAGGAAAACCCATGGCACCAATGGAATGGCCCATTCTAGTAGCCTTACCTTCAACTGAAAGTATTTTTCAGTACGGATTGTCAATAGTCGCTCAATGGAGAAAGCGTCGTCTGGCAGTTCTGTTTCGGCTAATTCAGTCCCAAAGGACTGCAATACCTGTGCGATTTCCTTCACAGTCAGAGCAAAATTTTCAATAGCCTGTGGAGGGACCGTGATTAGGTCAGGGCCAGTTTGATCACTAGAATGGCCTTGCCAACACACTTCACTCTTCCTCTACACATGACAGTAATATGTGTGCTCCCAATGGAAGCCCTGTTTTCACAAATGACCAATTCTTCGACTCTGTAAACGATAAAGAGGCTAAGCAGATGCTAACACTCATGCCCACCTCATGAGTCTCCCTCTTCCAAATATCTTTCCTTAAATACTCCAAATTTTGGTAGTTTTAATACTTGGACACGTGAGCAAATGATCTTTCTATGGGACAAGTAACATGTTTAGTGACATTGTATCAAAGACAAAGTATAGCCTAACACTGTTTCTTTAATCTTTTAAATCCTGCACTCAAGGAACAGGTTTTCTTTTATCCTAATGCAATGCTTGAAGGAGAATAACAATAATAACTAACATCCGTGTAGGGCTTGAAGGTTTGCAAAACGCTTTCTGTGCATTAGTTCATCTGACCATCACAACATAAGGGTAGATGCTATCATTCTCCTCATTTCAAGGATGAGGAAACTATGGCTCAGAGATGTTAACTCACTCCCCCAGGGTTGCACAAACTAGAGGCAAGATTCAAAGCCAGTTCTTTCTGACTCCAAGCCTAGCCTTCTATAGCTAGTCCTCTATGCGGTATGAAGGGCAACTGAGCTTCACTTTTCGTCTTTTCTGGATAAACCATGAATCCTAGATACTAATATTCTCCCACAAGGGGAAAACTCTGGACATCTGGGTTCTGAGTTCTGGTGACCATTTTTACAGAAATTATATTCTTCTCTCTCTAGTATAAAAAAATGATTTGTAAGCTTCAAGGTGCTATAGAAATATCAGCCATTTGTAGGGAGGCCAAGAGATGATACCAGCCACCGCAGGTTGTAAGCACCCTGGGACAAAACCCCATTCACCCAGCTCTAGTTATGGCTTTGCACATGAAATTAACCCATTCTCCCCCTCTCACCCCTACACATATACATGAAAAGAATCAATTACAGAAGCAGTTTCAGAAGCTTCATGATCATCTTTTCGTTTGGGGCTGGTGCTCTGGATCAAAGGGTAATGACCTGGGTTTGATGGGATCCATAAATAGATTTCGGAGAATCATGAATTCTTTTTTTACATTTTAATAGCTGTATTTCAATATTGTCGGATTCCTTTGTAACCCTTGCAATCCTACTTTGTGCATTTAAAGACATTCTGAGAAGGGGGTGGGGGGGGGGTCCATACATTTCCCCAGACTGTTAAAGGAGCCCAGGACACAAAACAGTTCTGAACTCCTGCTCTAAGTGGACTTACTGTTCTGAAAATAACCCATTCACTGTGACAGTATTCCAAGGTGCCTCCAAATTCAGGGGTCAGCTGCTTCTCATCAATGTGACTCAGTAAGTCACTGACAGAACTAAGCATTACAACCTGTGAGGACAAGGAACACCACGCTGTTAACTCTCCTTTGACTGCAGTACTCAGATGAATATGGAAAACAACATTTCACATGGGGTTTTTTTTGCAAAAACTAAATTTTTCTAAGTTCTGCACATGTACATACACACACACACACACACCACCTGCCTTAATTCATTGCCTTCTTAAGGCAATATAAGTTTTCATTTTATAAGAAACATCCCTCTGTAAAACAAGATTGATTGCCATAGAAACGCATCAAATACTTAAATCTCCTTCCTCCAAAAGCATACGTTGACAAAGGTGAGGTTTCAGAAAGGGGTGATAAAACCCAAGGGATACCTGTACATGAGAGCCCTAAGACAAAACCCAAGGAAGGGGTTCTGGGCCAATGCCTCTATGTTCATTCTGGCGCTGCCGAAAAAAGAGTAGAATGGCTAACCCCTCCAAGGGACCCAATTTCAGTTGTTTTCCCACTTATATTATCACTATTATAATATCACTATTTTGTTCTTAACCCTCAAAATACACAAGGATCTGGGATTTATGTGGGAACTACACACACATACACACATACACACACACACACACACACACACACACACACACACACACACACACACACACACACCCCAATCCATCCAGACCCTCTACATCAGAGGTTCTTAACCTCGGGTCCATGAAACTAGGGTTTTTCATATTTTGATAACTGGATTTCAACATAATCGATTTCCTTCGTAATCCTATGTATTTCATTTTATGCATCTAAAAACGTAATTCTAAGAAGGGATCCATAGCCTTCACCAGGCTGCCAAAAAAGTCCAGGACATGACAGTTTCAGAAGCCCTAACCTAAAACTTAGTAGATAATGTGTTAGAAGCTGTCTAAGGCTCAGAGACATCAAGTGACTTACTAACGGTTACACAAAGGTAGGAACTGTGAGAGGAGGCATTTGAACCCAGATCTTCCTGACTCTAATCATACATAGAACTGAAAAACAGTCCCTGCCCTCAGGAAGTTTACATTCTGCTGGAGGGATACAACAGGCAAACAGACAAATATTTGCACTGACTACATTGAACCCTCTATGTTTATCCTGCCTCCAACACTTTCAATTTCTCTTTTTTTTTGGGGGGGGGGGCAATCAGGTTTAAGTGACTTGCCCGGGGTCACACAGCTAGTAAGTGTCTGAGGCCGGATTTGAACTCAGGTCCTCCTGACTTCAGGGCTGGTGCTCTATCTGCTGAGCCACCTAGCTGCCCCTGAGCTTTTTTTTTAAAGGCCATTCTGAACCTCAGTTTACTCATCTGTAAAATGAGGATAATGATACTTATACTACCTGCTTCACAGGGCTATTGTGAGGTACAAATGATAAAATATATGCAAAGTGCTATCAAATGTTTGTTGTTGTTATACTAAAAGCTAGAAATGAAAAAAGATCAGGGTGTTCTGTAATTTCCTACGATGCAAGCTCCAATTACTTCACATCCCAGAACGCATTTTCCTTTAAAAGAAATAAAAGAATCTTCAGTGATATGTCCTTCATATACAGAATCCTTAGCTTCTTTCATGGTTCATCTCAAGTACTCCCTCCTACATGAGGCCTTTGATGCTCCCAGTTGCTAGGGATCTCTTTCTCTTAAAACTGCTCTGGGTTATTTTTTTTATATCTTTTGCATTTATGCATCTCCCTATGAGACAGTAAGCCCCTTAAGGGCAAGGAACTGTTTTGTTTTTATCTGTGAATCCTCAGTATCTAGAACTCTGCCCAGCACTTAATAAATGGTTGTTAAATTGTTGAAGGAATGACAAGTTAAAAAAAAAAACAATGAATGTTTTCACATCCTTTGTAAAATATTAAGCAATGTAGTTCTTTCTCTTTGATCTTGAGGGGGAAAAAAGATCAACTATTTTCTTTGTTACAAGGGAAGGTTTAACACCAGGGGAAGGGGATAATATCCAGAAATTACTGTGAAAAGAAAAGCTAAGGCATCAATAAAATAATTTTTTAAAAATCAAAATATTTTAAAATTCGATTTCCTGATGATTTAAATTTTAGCTTCTATTCTTTAAAATGTCTACTGGCTGCCAGGAAAGCAGAACCCCTAAATGTAGAGTGCAAAGTTTTCATGAGGATTAGAGTGTTTACACATTCTTACCGGCAATTTGAGAATGAAATCATCTTGACTGAACCGAAAGCCAATGTCTGTGAAAGTGCGTTGGATAAAACTTGTGGGCCTCAAGACCATAACCAAATGCAAGTTCCCTGGAAAAGAGGCCTGGGGACAAAAAAAAAAAACACAAAACCAGTCAGGAGATTCCCCTGCCCGACCATCGGGCGGCCACTGAGTCATCAAGACAGTCACTGGCAAAGTCAAGAGAGTCCCAGAAAACCTCAGAGTCATGAAACCTGTATCGAGAGGCTCACAAAACACACAAATCAACAACTGGAACCCCTTGCAATTGAGAATTGTACCTCATGCTATATTTTCTTAAACAGTAAGTCATTTGTTTAGAACTCAGAGCACATTTTTCCATGAAGACGAGACCAGTTCCCAAGCTAGCCCACAAGTTCCAATTTAACCCATGATGCAGCTGAAAGACAATAGACTTGCAATTAATAATAGGAGAAAACTATACTGTGTGTCAGTCTTTTGAAGATCACAAAGGGTATTTTAGGATATAAAACCTAGCAACATACATTAAGACAGACATTTCCTGAGATGTTTCAATCAAGATTTTCCCATCATATTCTCATCCTTCCCCAGCTCAGCTCCTCCCCAATCAGCTATCTACTTGAATACCATGCTATCAGAAATAATTACACCCTGACACTCTAACTCTTTTTTTCGTGTTTCTTCCACCTCCCACAAGCTCAGAGTTGGCCTTCTGCCTGCTCCTCTCATTCTACCTGGCTCTTAGGACCAAGGACACACCTACAAATCCCGTGGCCCACTGGACCCTTCCACCCCTTTTTTCTGCTGCCATCAGTCAATAACCTCTACTCTTTGAAGCTCATGTGATCCTCTCCTTAAGTTCCCTGCTATTACCCACCACCCTCCAGTCTTTTGACTTGCGCAGCCGTGAAGAATGAGAATTATATTTTCAGACATGGCCAATGAGGGAATGTGTTTCCCTTGACTATGCATATTTGTAAAAGGGGTCGGCTTTTCATTCTTTCTTTTTCCAATGAGAGAAGGAAAGAAAAATGCTCAGTAATTGAAATTTAAATTTTAAAAAGTAAAAAATAGGTCATAAAATGGACCCTAACTGCATTCAGAAAGCAACTGAGCTCCCCCACCCCAATCCCTTCTTCATTTCTTTGTGCATTCATTCACTTTCTCAGTCTTTGAATTTCGGAAGGCTGGTTGCTACAACAGAAAAACTCAAGTGAGCCTGGAATCAAGAGAGACTCAGGTTTGAATCTTTTCAGTATGGCTATGGATAAGTCATTTAGCCTCTCAGTGCCTCAGTCTGCTTATCTGTAAAATATCTGTACCGCCCATTGTAACACTCAAACAAGATAACATTGCGGAAAGCACATTTCAGCCATGTTCTCATATCTTCTTTTAGGAGTCAAGTTTGAACTCTGATAGCCCCAATAATAGCCAGAGGAGAAAGAAGTCTGAGGGCAGTTCAGATAGGAGCTGTGGGTTCCACCAGGCTATGGCTACAGAGAGAGAGGAGGGGAGTGAAACCAGCTCATTGACAACTATTTAAGCCAAGAGCCTGTGGCAGCCAGGGCATTTAAGAAAAGCAAACAGAGAATCTATCTTTGGACAAAGTTGATTGTCAGAATTCTGCAGGAAGCAGGGAGAAGAAGGGAGGAGAGGAGTTGAGTCCAGAGTCAGAGGCAATGACAAAGAAGCCCAGAATTCCCACATTAGAAGGGCCCTCCAAGGCCAGTTGGTCCAACCCACAACTGCACAAGAATCACCATGGTAACATTTTTTTTTGAGGCAATCGGGGTTAAGTGACTTGCCCAAGGTCACACAGCTAGTGTCAAGTGTCTAAGGTTGGATTTGAACTCAGGTCCTCCTGACTCCAAGGCCAGATAGAAATCCACTGCACCACCTAGCTGCCCCCATAACATTTCTAACAAGCGGCACCAAGCCTCTACCACCTTCAGTGACAGAGTTTACTCCCTCCTGAGGCTGCCCATTCCACTTACAGGCAGCTCTCACTGGTGGGATGTTCCTAACATCAAGGAAATCCAATTTATTTCTTGGCAAATCACACCCATTACAACTAGTTCTGCCCTCTGGGGCCAAGCACAACAAATGGAAGCACCTCTTGAGAGCCCTTAGACAGTTATTATGCAGCACCTAAAGTCTTCTCCAGGTTAAATACCCCCAGTCACTTCAATCCTCACATACTAGCTCTGTGCTCCAATTCTTCTCACTATCCCACTTGCTCTCTTGCGAACACTTGGTGCCTAGAACTGGATACAATCTACCAGCTGGGGTCTGCCCAAGGCAGAAGATAGTGGGACTATAGAAGTTATCTCTTTGGTCCCTCCCATCATGCTCCTCTGAATGAAACCTTATGTTGCATAATAATCTTTTTTCTTTTTGTTTTTCTTTCTTTCTTTCTTTCTTTCTTTCTTTCTTTCTTTCTTTCTTTCTTTCTTTCTTTCTTTCTTTTTTTTTAGGCAATTGGGGTTAAGTGATTTGCCCAGGGTCACACAGCTAGTAAGTGTCAAGTGTTTGTTCTGAGGCTGCATTTGAAATCAGGTCCTCCTGACTTCAGGGCTGGTGCTCTATCCACTGTGCCACCTAGCTGCCCCCCATAATAATCACTCTACTTGACTCTAAAGACTCAAATTCGTCTTTGAGACTTAATGGCCCCTCATTCTAGGAGTCCTTTTTTGTTATTTTTATTCTAATAAAACTTTCCCCTATAATGTTGCTAACTAAGGGCTTAGAAGCAGAAGGTCAACTAGGGGATACTATAGAGAGGGGGTAGGGTAGAAGGAAACTATGCATATAGATTGAAGGTCACATAAGCAATATGATGGAGGACTAGACATTTCCTCCGATCCCCATGACCTCTCCCAAACAGAAATGATGCACCACGTATAAAACAGCTTCGGCTGCCTCAATGATCCATGATACTCAGAGCCCAAAAGGAGGTTAAAAAAGCTCCATGAACTGATGCCTATCATGAGTTCACACAGTATTCTCTCCTCCACCACACACCATACTGCGAGCAGTGAGGCTGCACTAGCCATCCCCAGGACCTGACCTACAACCTTGCAAAAAATATGTAACCACCTAGCCTGGTGCCACCTGCCTCTTTCCAGGGCCTCGACAACCAATATCACAGCAGCGTTCTACTACAGAAAGGTCTCTATGGGAGAGCAGTGGAACAAAGCGAATCGGGTAGAACATGCGTCTGGGCTGGAAGCAGAGCTCAAGCCCATACTCTAAGCTCCCCCCTCCTCCCGGAGTCTTAGAGACCTAAACTCCAAAGGATAGAAATCACCCCAGGCTGCAGGGGCACCAACATGGCAGTGGTCTAAATTGCCAGTCTAGAGAACTGAGGAACAGAAAGAACATGGCAGGATAAGGTGCAGGGGGTTGGGGGATGGTAGGAGGAAGAGGTTTTGCATCACTCCACTAAGACTGAGGGAAAGAGCCCAGTGTCTAGCTAGGGCTAGTTCTATACCCCAAAAGTCACTCTTTGCTTTCTCTCACCCCCCCCCCATATTCAAGCTGTTGCCAAAGCCTGCCAATTTCACCTTTGCAATATCTCTGGAATTCTCCTCCTTCTCTCCTCTGACACTGCCACCACCCTAGTACAGACCCTTATCACCTCATGCCTGGACTATTGCAATAGCCTGCTGGTAGTTCTGCCTGCCTCAGGTCTCCTTACTCTAATCTATCCTCCATTCAGCCACCAAAGTGACCCTGCTAAAGCTGTAGTCCAACCAAATCACCCCACCCACACTTCCACACTCAAGAAACTCATGGCTCCCTATAGCCTTCAGGATCAAATACAAAAATCCTGTTTGACATTCAAAGCCATTCATAACCTATCCCTCTCCTATCTTTCCAGTCCTCTTATACCTTACTCTGATCCGGTGACTGGTCACTGTTCCACAAACAAGACACTCCATCTCCTGGCTCTGGCATTCACTATGGCTATCCCCCATGCTCTGCCTCCTTATCTCTACCTCCTGCCTTCCCTGGCTTCCTTTAAGTCCCAACTAAAATCTTCTACAGGAAACCTTTCCCAACCTCTCAATTCTACGGCCTCCCTTCTCTTAATTACTTCCTATTGATCCTGTATAAAGCTCATTTGTATATACTTGTTTGCTTGTTTTCTCTCCCATTTCATTGTGAGCTCCTCGAGGGCAAGGACTATCTTTTGCTATTTTTCATATCCCCAGCACTTAGCACAGTGTCTGGCACATAGTAGCACATAATAAATGTTAATTGAGTGACTGACTGATCTACCCTCCAATGAAAAAACCAACAGAGGGAAGAGAAAGTAAGCAATAGGGGAAACTGCTCACTCAGAAAAGGAACAATGGGGGGAAATAAGGAGGAGGAGGATTAAAATTACCAAAGATCTCAGGAAGAAGAAAAATCAAAGACCTGAAAAATAAACAGACAAATCAACAGGAAAACATTAACAACTGAAGGAAATATGGCCTCCAGATCTAGTAAATGACTTGAGGCATCTATGAATAAATACTAAAAAACAAAGGAAAATGAACTTGATGAGACAGAGGACCCTATGAAATACGACAACATGGAACCACAACACATTCTTCCTGAGTGGTTTAAAAAAAAAAGAAATGAGAATTATGAGAGCAGATTTTATTGCCTCTACATAAAAAATAATTGGTAGAATAGAAAAACTTGAATCAGCAATGACAGAACTCACCAAAGAAACAAAAGAGAGAATAATAATTGCAGTTCAAATACACAGAAATAAAGGATAATCTAGAAGAAGACAAGCTAAAAACAATAACATTAAAAGAAATTTACTCTGTAGCCAATCAAAATATACTGAATTCAAACACAGGATAAGACTTAAGGAATATCGATCTCCTACAATAACATGACAAGTAAAATAAAAAACAAAACCTGAAAATCATAATACAAGAAATAATACAAGAAAACTGCCCAGAATTCCTGAATACAGAAAATGAAATATAATTTGAAAGAATTCAAAGATTACCTTCTGTAGGTTCTGTAAGTTAACTGGAGGAAGAACTTCAAATACAAAGGAAAGGAAATTTAAATAACACATGACTATTTTACGTCCACTA